GCTATAAGTCTGAGCACCCCTGCTTTAAATGTATACGCAAACATTTCACATACGAGGACAAAATTCCTTTGAGACGCGACAGCCCGCTTTCATTAGTCTTCATTAATTTACTTAACAAATTAAAGAAATAACTTTTCAAGAGATGGAATATCAAAGAACTGGGACGTAGCCGGCGACGAGGTTTGTCACTATATGCTCGAAAGTTTTACCTCCACAAGAAGTTAGTTTAGTTACATACTCCAACTTAGTCTCTCTATATGGGTTTACTAGTTCTGTATACTCTTTTTTACAGATTACGTGTGACACACGAGCACACAGTCTATCTAATGGTAATTGGGTACTGTGGTCCATAGACGGCCACATCTATCCTCCATTAAGTATCAAAATACAAATGCATTGTTACCCCTGAGGACGAAGATGGAATGCCTCATTCCCAGTAGAAAGGGGTCGATCTCTTTAAACTCCCTATAGCAAACACAGCAGCATTAAGCTGCTATTTTGAGCTGATATTCTGTGAGTGTGGTCGTACCCCGGTCGAGTTGACCCATTCGTGGTACAACCATTACGTAGCTGCAGCGTGGCTCTACCACGTCTAAATAATAATAATACGTAAAATAGTAATAGGTATATACAAATAGGTTAGGAATAGACCCATCTGGAAACAATGGGCGTAAGTAGTCATAGAATTAAACCGATATGCGACTACGAACAAGTCAGTATTGTTACAAATTATGTATCGACTTCTAGTCTAAAATAAAAAATAAACTATAAAAATTTTATATCGAGCGTAGTCCTTTCGCTTCTCACTTTTCATAGTGTCTTATTTTTTATTTACTTTATTTATTTCTTAAAACAAATGTCATGTGTAATGTCCGTGTCACATTTATGTCGGTAGTGTTGGCATTATTGTGCTCGAAGTTGTTGACCAATGGGTGCGTTTGGCAGAAAAAAGCGCTAGCAAGCGCTTGTAAGCAAAATGGCGATCGTAAGCGGTAAGTGCTGTCAAATCGTAAGTAGTTATTTTCCTCCAGGACACGATGTTAGTTTTAACGGGGTAACCTAACCTAATTTAAATATATTTTTGTAAAGTATTCATATGAAAAACTTACCAATCATGAATTTTTAATAACATGTATATGTTTATTCATGTCATTATATTACTTAATACTAATATTGAACAAAACAACTTTTAAACTCTACTTCAAAACAAACAAATTAAATAAGCAAAATGGCGGATTATGTCAGCGCTACTGAAGTAGCAATCGTGTCCTGGCCGAAAACTATTTTAGCGCTTGTAAGCGCTTGCTAGCGCTTTTTTCTGCCAAACGCACCCATTGTATTTATAATTTACTTAAGAGAAATTGTCCGACTAAGTGATACCAAAATTGACCGATCAATCGACGGATCCAACTCGGCTGGGCAGCGTCAGAGAGATTACGACACAGGATGTGTGTGTTGCCAGTGATGACATTTCTACGAGTATACGAGGAAGCTTACGGTCGCTCAACGAGCTATGGTTAGGGCTATGATCGAAGAGGATGTGTATGATGGACTTCGTAATGAGAATAGTGGAATAGTACTAGAAAATGAGTAACCGATATGGTCCAACGGAGCAATAATAAAGGTTCTCAAGTGCCAGTTCAACCAGTTCTCTTGGCGTACGTAAGCGATGTGTAGGGCGGCTCCCTTTTATATGAAGTGACGAATTGATAAGACATGCAGGATGTCGGTTGATGCGGGTGGCTCAGGACCGCGCTATGTGGCATTCATACGTCCAGCAGTGGACTTGTAATGAGATGAATATGAACAAGTCGGATTTTTCCGTAAATGTGGTAAAAAAATTAATGACTTTCAATAACTTGATATTCCTGTTATATTATATAACAGGAATATCAGTATCAAGTATTCGTTGGTCTAGCGGTTGTAATAGTGCGACTGCTGATCATGAGGTCCTGGGTTCGAATCCCGGGTCGAGCCAAAAAATTAATTATTGATTGTTTATATAAAGAAATTCTCAGTAGCTGCCTGGAGTTAGAAAGTTGGTGGTGTCTCACCCCCGTGTCTCGGAAAGTACCGTTGGTCCTGCGCATGATCTCTCTCCGATCGTGTAGGTTTACCATCCCATCGGATTATGAGAGTGAGGGAATAGAGAGTGCACCTGTGCTTGCGCATATACTTTGGCACTATGATCCTGTCCTGCGCCGATGGCTAGCCTTTGTTTAGGCTGGCCGCCGTGACTGGAATTCGTTCTGGAGGACATTATTATTCCTGTTATCTAAATTGTATAACAAAATTATTATTCTAATATATTTTATTTTATTTCTACCCCGGGTCCCTTGGACGGACTCATCGCGGAAGTTATTTTAATGTAGCGACGTACGAATGTGTTATGTTCAGTTGTGGGTTGGTTGTATTTGATGGACTCTTTTTTTACACTGAAGTGGTAAATGAACTGACAGTCCATCTAATGGTAAGTGGCAATTGCAGCCCATGAACACCTGAAGCCAACTGCGAACAAAGAAAGCTATTACCTTGTCACCTATGAGGACTAAGATGGAATGCCCAACAACCTGTAATAATACTGACTTTCTATACTATTAGGCGACAGAAATAGTTGGTGGAGTAGTTGTTTAATTTTTTTAATTTTTAAGCCATTAGCAATTTAAAAGCTAACTTTAAAGTAATTACAAAATATGTCGAACAAATTCGGATTGATCGGTAAGATCATACGACTCTGTCGCGTAATGCCTTAGTAGATAACCTAATCAGTTGCGGCGCTGCGGGACGCAGGTTCGACTCCAGCACGGAACAGCTCCTTCAAAGTTCGCAATGAGCAAAGGCAAAGTCAGAGCACATCAGCAGAATTGGCGAGAAACTAGTTCGACTTCCTCCGTCAACATGTGCATTGTCGTCTCTCGTCAAGACTGTCCCAGGGAACTTCTGTTAACCATCTCTCCCATCTCTGCACAGGGAGGACGACTCACTGGCCCATGCCGCAAAGGATATAGTCGATCTTCTGGGCTCTCTCTTTACGTTCAACACGACCCTTAATGACGAAGTAACACACCGGCGACCATCCCGCGATGTGAGTGCTCCATGCAAGATATGCTGTTTACCAAGCGCTCGGTGCGCAGAGCACTTCTCTCCCTGGACTTCAACAAGTCGAGTGGGCCAAATGGCGTCCCCCCATATGGTGCTGAAGATGTGTGCTCTGGAGTTGGCACCGGTTTTAACGCGTCTTTTCCGGTAGCAGCACAATGTCGGTCCGGTTTCCCCAGGCGTAGTCCCGAAATCATGGAAGACAGTTTCAGTGCACCCCATGCCCAAAAAGGCGACCCGTCAAACTACAGGCCTATCACTATCAACTCCTTGTTCTCCAAAATAATGGAATCCGTTACAAACTGCCAGCTCATGAAGTACCTTGAGGGTAATCAGCTGATTATTATATTACAGCAGCTGGTGATCTTTTGAGTTAACTAACTCATAGGTGGCCGGAGGGAGTAGAGTCCAAGGGAGAGGCGTTGGCCGTTAGTTTGGACATAGCGAAGGCCTTCGATTGGGTTTGGCACAAACCATTTCTTCCTATGAGCTTCCCTAGAAATTGTGCAATTGCATCACCAGTTTTCTTGCAGATCGGAGTATCAAGGTCGTAGTAGACGGATTACAAACCTACTAACGATGTGCCACAAGGCTACGTGCAACCACCCACGCTGCTTCTTCTGCATATCAATGATATTTTGCAAGCTGGCAACATTAATTGTTATGCAGATGACAGCACTGGTGATGGATTATACACCGGCCGTGTAAATATTTCTCAGGAAAACGTCGTCAAGTAGCGGAACAACTTGTCTCTGAAGTCGAGACATTGTTGAACAAAGTCTCGGACTGGGATCGATCAAATCTAGTTCAGTTCAATCCCCAAAAAACACAAGTTTGATCGTTCATCGCTAAAAAAGCCCCTTCGTTTTATCTTCTTAGTTTCGAGGCACTTCCCTTGTTGCCTCAGCCAGTATCGGAATTCTCGGCGTCGACATATCGAGTGACGTGGTTTCATGGTCACTTGGAAGAGAAGGTCAAATTGGCCTCTAAAAAGCTTGGCGTGCTCCAGCAGAGCGGGACAGTATTTCAGGCACACCGCCTGCAACTTTACAAGGCGCAGGTTCGACCGCACATGGAATACTGTTCCCATATCTGGGCTGGGGCTCCCCAGTGCCAGCTCCTTCCACTTGACCGCATCCAACGCAGAGCTGCTCGAATCGTCGACGACCGAGTGCTTTCGATCTTTCCTGCGTTTTGCATTTTCTTTCGTGGAGGTGCTCTGAGGAATTGTTCGGATTAATCCCAGCCGCCGAATTTCGTGAACGCACATTACGCGGCAAACGTCCCGATACCATCCACACCATATGGATGCTTGGCGGTCCACCACTGTACGTTTCAAAAGGAGTTTTCTTCCGCGTACAACCTCTCTGTGGAATCAATTTACCACCAGAGATTTTTCCGGACCGATACGACCTGGGGACCTTCAAGAAAAGAGCTTACTCCTTTCTAAAGGGCCGGCAACGCGTCTGCAATTCCCCTGGTGTTGCAGTTGATCATGGGCGGCGGTAGTCACTTAACATCAGGTGAGCCGCATGCTCGTTTGCCCCCTCATTTCGCTATAAAAAAAAAAAAAAAAAAAGTTCGCCAACACGCATTGGGGCAGCGCAGCGGACACTTCCTTACCCTAAACCCTCTCAGAAGTGAGAGGAGGCCTGTGCCCAGCAGTGGGACGTACCTATACAGGCTGTAACTTCAACTTTAATGTTTTTTATCTACTTTATAACTCATCGCTCATCAACATTTCTTTCTGTAAAAAAAACTTAAAAGTACAGTCGAATCGAGTACCCCTCCTTTTTTGAAGTCGGTTAAACCGGAGTTTAAGTCTTTCTGTCTATCATCATACACTAATTGTAAACTTATTTCGGCAGTAACGTGTTCACTGAGGCTTCTTTAACTTCGAAATGCTGTATGTACTTTGGTTGTGTGAATTATTTTTTATAGGAGTGGGGGCAAACGGGCATGGCTGTAGTCACTCATCATCAGGTGAGTCATCACCTGATGATGAGTGACTACCGCCGCCCATGAACAACTGCAACACCAGGGAGATGCAGTAGATGGTTAAATAATATGCAAATTAGCTGCTGCTGTGCCCGATGGTGGATAACGTTGGAGTAGATTGATAGTTTGCAGAGGCTTTTGTATAGAATAAATAAGGCTGACAAACGGACACACATTCTGATGTAAGTAGATACTCTGTTTTAACATACAGCCACAGTATGAATATACCACGTAAATGTGGGTGAGTATATTTTATAAGTGGTAGATATTTTATAAGTGGTTCTGCTATATTGTGGTTGTGGCACGAATTAATCAGCTCGACCGGGTAAGTGACCACGTTTTCGCAGAATATCAGCGTAAAATAGCATCTTAATGCTGCTGTGTTTAGGATGGCGAATTTAAAGAAACGAACTTTTTATTGGAAACGGAGCGTTACATCTTAGTCCTCAGGTGTGGCAACGTATTTTCATTTTGATTTTCAATCGAGCCTTCATCAGGTGAACCGCTTGTCACCTTTATTTTGTAAAAAAAAAACATTTTATACGTGGTAGAGTCATGCTGCAGTCATATTAGTAGTATAGTTGTAGCACGAATGGGTCGGCTCGACCGGGGAAGGACCACGCTCTCACAGCGTGAAATAGCAGCGTAATGTAGTTGTCTATGGGCCACAGTAACCACTTACCATCAGGTGGACTGTGTGCTCGTTTGTCACCCTATCCTATAAAAAAACATGCTATTGAAGTGAAACCTTCACAAAAGGAAACTGAGATAATAACACAGTGAACAGTATTCTAGCTCATTCCCTTGCAGTCTAAATCCTATAAATGTATAGGTACTATGTTTATCTCCTTTTATTGTCGCTTTAACTATTCTAAAAAAGTTTTCATTTATAGATACGTACCTGATAGCATTAAACAAACTCTCATACGTCTTTAATAGTCGAATTACTTACATTGTCTAAGTGAATTTTGTTTAGGTATAGAAAGGTAAATTAATTGCACGCGTTTTAGTGTCATCTGAAACAAAAGCGATTTTAATTAGTTTTAGTAGAAAGGCAAAAATCTTAGCAAAGCGATAGTAGAGTAGATACCTATATTGTTAAAAGATACCGTTTAAATGTTTCTACTAATGTACTCGACTAAATTACTCTTCTTAAGACTAAGATAATGTACACCGGCCATTACACCGTCGTAATTGATGAAATTATGGCATTCATTCCTTGTAATTAATATCAGATATCGAATAAATGTGACAAACTATATTTTGTAGTGGATAGAAATACTTAGAAATGGAAACTTTTTTATTTTTTATTCAATACTAGTGATATACCCCGGCTTCGCACGGGTGATATCTGCATTCTACAACAGCGCCACCTACCGGGTCCAACTATGCCTACCTTCGCGTAAAGTGTAAGCAATAACTTGACTAAGTTTTAGCGCAATAAGGTGAACAGTACTACGGCAGCGCATAAAGTACGAACAAACAAATATTATTTTTTATATATACTTATACAAGATAAGACTACAATTATAAGATACTTATTGAAAATCATTATTAGTATGTTTAATAATATACCACCGTGACATTAAAAAAAAGAAAAGTTTACAATCATATTAGGTATGTACCTACGTATATAAATAGGTACCTAATACATATTATGTTACAAAATTAACTACCCAAAGCCTATTCGATAGCTTGGGGCGATTACCTCACCACCAGGGGTTTAATCCTCCATAAATTCCTTAATATTATAATAACACGTTTTAATACTTTCTTTAAAAAGAATTTGTGTATGTGTATTTTGGAGAATACGTATACTTTATAGTAGTAGTGTTGGTGTAGCATGCGTTGGTGGATGGTGTAGGGCGAGCGTGGTACCTCGTGGTATAGCGTGGTATCGCGTGGTATCTCACGCGTGGCATCGCGTGGCAGCGCGTGGCGGGCGGTGCGCGCGCGCCGCGGGCGGCGGGCTGCGGGCGGCGGGTGGCAGGCGGCGGGCGTGGCAGCGGAGGCGGCGCGCGGCGCCATTCGCCGCCGCCGAGGCCCGCCCCCTCCCGCCGCCGCCCGCAGCCCGCCGCCCCGCCACCGCCCCGCGCCCGCTCGCCACCGCCTCGCTCAGTGCCTCGCGAGTCGCCGCCCGCGTCGCACGTGTCGCGCATATTCACATCGTCCGCGTTCGTTGCAGATGCGAGCACGCCGCCGCTGAAGCGATGCCCGCCGAGGAGGAAGCCGCGGCGATGGACGCCCGCGAAGCCGCTGACGGCTCGCCCCAGCAGTTCTGCCTCCGCTGGAACAACTATCAAAGCAACCTAGCCAACTGTTTCGACCAACTTCTGCAGACGGAGTCGTTCGTCGACGTCACGCTCGCCTGCGAGGGCCAAAGTCTGAAAGCACACAAAGTGGTGCTCTCCGCATGCAGCCCCTACTTCCAGACCCTGTTCATGGAAAATCCGTGCCGACATCCGATCATAATCATGCGCGACATAAAATACTGCGACCTGAGAGCGGTGGTCGACTTCATGTACCGCGGCGAGATCAACGTGTCGCAGGACCAGATCAGCGCCCTGCTAAAGGTGGCCGAGATGCTGAAGATCCGCGGGCTGACGGACGTGAGCGGGGACCACGCAGTGTTGAGACCGGGCGGGGATCCGCGCGGCGGGAAACGGCCGGTGAGCCGCGAGCCGGAGTCGCCGGCGAAGTCGCGGCGGCGCTCCGCGGAGGGCCCGAGCCCACGCGAAAGCCCCGCCGCGGACCTGCCGCCGCCCGACACGCCGACACCCGCCATGCCGCTGCACGGAGACGACGTGGACATCCGCCCCGGCATCGCCGAGATGATCCGCGAAGAGGAACGGGTAAGTTGCGCTCGCTCCCGCTTCCCGCCAAACTTTTCCCGCCGTTACGCCATCCGCCCGCGCCCCACCCCCCCGCCGAACTCCACTGTATCGTCTTCCTAATTAATTTATTTTGGGGGCCGCACTCCACGTCTAATATGAAAATTACTGTGTGGTACCGCCGACTCGTACATTGTTTTGTTCAAAATATAAAGTTTGCCCTTCCCAACACCACAGTTCCGTCTCGCTGTAGCTACAAACAAAACGCTTTTTGATTAAAACGTCTAATAATATACTTATTTTATAATTTTTTTATTTTAATTTTTTACATTACCCCTTACTTTTTTTTATAATTTAGAATGAGTGAAGTGTATATTATATATAGGGAGAGTGTAGAAATTTGAAACTAGAAAATAAATTCTCTCGCTGTGAGTCCGCGCATCACCGCATCCGAGGTAAACATCTCGTTTTACGTGAATCTGAGTTGCGTCGAGATCAGGCGACGCGAACCCACAGAGCGGAGACTTAATTCGTTTTGCACTCATTAACCTTCGCTTTTTCCCGTCTGCTAGTGTTGCCATACATACATTTGTATTTAGCCTTAATAATTTTTTAAATTATGGATGGCGATTCTTCCTTAACTACATTTTAAATCTATTCCATACGAAGTCTAAACAAACGTTTCTATAAAAAATCGATGTTCAGAAAATCGATTCTAGAAAAAAGTTCAATGTGAAAAAAACTAAATTTCTAAAATATTAAAGCATCCAACCCTGCGCGACCCTTCTTGATACAAAAAATCCTTCAATTAATCGATTTCAGATCCCTCCTCCTTTTATATTATTTTTTTAGTTAATATGGGATTAAGAAAATTACTGCTTTTTTAACATTATTTACAACTAAATCATTGAGTAATTTTATATTAAAATCAAAAGTAATTAATGAAACGGTAATTATCGTGAAAGCACAATTTTACGTTTAGACATAAAAATTATTATAATTTATATAATTGTTAAAGACCAGAAATTAAAAGAAACTGATTTATTCGATTTAAATTGCAATTAATTTGCAACACAGGAAATGATATTTAAAAGAAAGTTAGATAATGTGTAGTCTAAAATTCAGTATCGTAATATTTTATTATTATGTTAATATTCAGCACAAATAAAGAACGGTAATGGCCGGCTAGAATAAGTTAAAGCGTTATATATTATAAACATTACATAGGGATACGCTAAATAAAATGGCACCTTAAATCATTGTAAGCACGCCGAGCGCCGTTTAATGGCCACTGCGTTTATTTTAACGTTGCGGTATTTAAACTAAATAGATAACATTTTTATGCCACTCCCTATTCTACCGCTGTATCACTCCCGCTTTACATTTATATCCTTACGATACGGACAGAGACGTTCGTTTATTTAATTACATGAAACTGGCAACACTTCGTGAGATATTTGCCATTCTGATTCGTGTCGGTAGGAAGATAGGCCGCAGTTGGTTTAGTCAACGCGAGTATCAACTTGATCCGGGTCAACTTGAATTTCGCTAATTATTTTTAATTTATAAAATTAATATAAAGGCCTTCCTACATCACGGAGGAAGGAATTTAACGAATCCCATTTTAAAATTAAAAATGATGTATCACGACACGATTATTCACAGAATGTAATAAGTTCACTATGAGATTTTACGCTTATCGCCTAGAACCATTTTATATTTATGTGACCACAAATAGTTTGTAGTTTAATGCACCTAATTTTATTTGATAATCATATTAATGTAACTTCAGTAATGTAATGTATTGTATTGTGTTAATTAGAACAATGTGTACATAATGTCGACAGCTGAGCCGTGGTAGCCTCGCTGCAAATATAACAGAACGAAAGTAACCCGGGGTCGATCCCCGCCGGCACCAATGAAATTGCGAATTGCAATTTTAAGTGCTGATTTACCACGTGCTCGGCGGTGAAGGAAAACATCGCGAGAAAACCTGCATGTCTGAGGAATAAGAAAAAAAATATATCGAAGACATGTGAAGTTCGCCAACACGCATTGGGGCGGCGCGGCGTACACTTTCTTGTCCTAAAACCCTCTCAGAAATGAGGGGAGGCCTGTGCCCAGCAGTGGGACTTATATAGACCGTAACTTATTTACGTACTTTTTTAACTTTAATGTCGACGGCAATGGTGTACGGAAAAACTCTAATCAGTTTATGTTTACACTGAAACTATCTATCTTTGTAACCATCAACTTCTTAAATAAATTTAAAAAAATTTAAAGTAGGATCGGAGATTGATTAATTGAAGTACCGATATTTTGTGTCAATCAAGTGGGGTGGTAGGGGCGATTAGTTTGAGCGATGGTAAACAAGTAGGTAGTAGCTATCAGTGCCGTCATACATGGACCGTTTTCTTGAGGGTTAGTGATTATTTTATAAATAGGTACTCTACCTGTAAACACTTTGATTATCGTTGAGTCACTGCCATTTAAAAAAATCGTCAATTATATCAAATATCTGAGAACAGTGTTACGTTAAGTATCTCAAAAATAAAGAAGTAACTGTTTAGTTATTTATTATTAAATATCGCTACGTAATCGACAAGGAAAAGCAAATTAGTAAAAACTTGCAATTTTTTCAATTTTAAAGCTTTAATTATTATAAATTGACAATATTATAATGCAAACATAACAGTATATACCTAGTAAAAGTTTCGTAATAAACATTCGTATAGTTATTATGGTTTAACCGACTTAAAAAAATGAGGGCGTCATCTTAAATCTTTCAACCGAATCATCATTTCGATTACCTATATTTTATGAATATCGTTTCATTTTACAACACAAGGAAATCGCTTACTTCGTGGTATTCCTTGCGGGAGGCCTACGTTCGGCAATGGACTTCTGAAAGTCTGTAATAATAGTGGCGACGACGATAAGATGATGATGATGATATTGCTGAAGTTCATATAATTTGCAAATTTTTGCAACGTGAACTGAGAACAGAGTTCCCAGTGTAAATTTTTTATCAGATTCGATGATAATTAGAATCGGTTTATATATTTTTTTAATCTAATTACAATTCTCTTCCCATAAGTTATCTACTGTTCATACTGTGTGGGAGCGTGAAGTTGCTAGGACATCACGCCACGGAGCGGTCTTTGAATTATGAAACGTTATGATTTTTTTAAAAAAGCTAAGATACTGAAGTTTATAATAATAACACCCTCCTGACCGATTTTCGGTCACGATGGCAGCCTCAACGGAGGCTAGCCATCGGCGCAGGACAGGATTATAGTGCCCAAGTGTATGCGCAAGCACAGGTGCACTCTCTATTCCTTCACTATCTTAGTCCGACGGGACGGTAATCCGACATGACCGGAGAGAGATCATGCGTAGGACCGACGGCTTATCATGCATTTCGAGGCACGGGGGTGAATGAAACACCGGCAAACTCCTGATTCCGGGTTGCTAATGAGAATTTCTAGGCATAAAAACGCAATAACTGATTTTGACCCGACACGGTATTCGGACCCGGGACCTCATGGTCTGCAGTCGCGTTACGACGTTCAACAAGGCACGTAATGAAATTATCAACACCAACAAAGCCTATATAAATAATTTTTGAACTCTTGCCAACTTTAATATTGACAACAGGTGACGAGTTATACATGTATCTAGTATGTTTTACATGTAACCATTTGTTTCATATTAAATGCCTTGTTCATCATAGTACACATATATATTATGCTCTTGTATATTGATAAAAGTGTGACAGTGGTTTTTTTATATCACGTCCCGGTAGGGTCTTGAAACATTCGTTTATCATATAGGACCATAGGTACCGTTTCTATGATTCTCTCAATCGTTTCAGCTCACCTATTGCTTGTATGCTCACGTTTTACAAATGAAACTGTTTATAACATTTTTTACTGTTATTTTATTTCAGATTAGCTATCCGCCCCAGTAACAGCGCTACCTACCGGGTCCAGAGACCTACTCAATCACACAAAAAAATCATTAATATTAGTCGAGCCACTTTCCAGTATTAACGAAACTGACATTATTTGATTTTTTATCTAATGATTTCTTATATTTACGCGAACACTACACATTGATTAAAACTACTTTTACGGATTTTTAATTCCCGACGTTTCGGGTGCTTTCCATCACCCATGGTCACGGGGGACTGAGATGACTGACGTCCCGATGTCATTGTTAAACCCGAAGTACCTTCAGCGTTTTTAATTATTGTTAATCAATATAAAAAAATAATTTTTTATGTTCTTGATATATATAAATTACGTGTTACGTTGTTTGTCCGCGATGGGCTCTTAAACTACTGAATCGATTTTAATCAAATTTGCACACCGTGTGCAGTTTGGTCCAACTTGAGAGATAGGATAGTTTTTTTGCCCATGAGTTAACCATAATTATTTTTTTGCTAATTTAAGGATTTTTAATAGGACATGACAAAGGGTCGTCGAAAAGGGCAGAACAACGTCTGCCTGGCAAGCTAGTATATTATAGACACTAACTGGTCCTACCCAACGCGTAAAGGAAATACATGTAGTTGTGGAAATATCGTTTTAAATTTGGAAGTCTTATTGTTTAATTAGAAATGATAATACATTTATTAAAATTAAATAATTTAAAATAACCTTGAAAAAAAAATTAAGTACGATACGCGCGCCATCTACTGCAAGTTAATTGTACTTTGCCTTTATACGCGCAAGTGCAAGCAATACTCGTAAGTTGACAGTTTTACAGCAATCTGATCAACGGTATGGCAGTGCGTAAAATACGAACAAAAAACATTATTTTTTATAAGGTATTATACTATTAGACTATAGTTAAAGTTAGTAAGTCAATAATTTAAAAAAACACACACATTTTATTTAAAACTATTTGCATTTTCTGTAGGTACTCTGTTATTAATTTACAAGGTACTCATGTAATTTAAAAACTAAAAATAAGAAAAAAATACTTGCCAAATCGTCGCTGTTTGCTTGAGAAAATATTATAATATATTAAGTGTTTATTTAAATTATAAAATAATAAGTTCCTACCAATGTTCGATATATGTTTACATAATACGTGAAAATCTTTAGTTATGTTATATT